TTTTCTTTCTTTTTTTCCTTCTTTCTTTCTTTCTTTCTTTCTTTCGTTCTTTTTTTCTTTCTTTTTCTTTCTGGCATGCACCCTTAAAGTTGGCTACTGCGTGCCAGAAACTGGCATGCACCTTTAAAGTTGACACACACACACACACACACACACACACACACACACACACACACACACATTCTGGCATGCACCCTTAAAGTTGGCTACTGCGTGCCAGAAACTGACGAATGATTACCGTTGTGACTTGAAATGACACGCAGTAGCCAACCTGAAGTCGGACACGCTAACACATGCACAAGCAAACACGCATAACGAATGCACACACACACACAGGCATATACAGAAAGACACACACACACACACACACACACACACACACACACACACACACACACACACTGTGACACACACACACACATTCTGGCATGCACCCTTAAAGTTGGCTACTGCGTGCCAGAAACTGACGAATGATTACTGTTGCGACTTCGAATGGCACGCAGTAGCTAACTTGGGAACAAACACGCAGACACACGCACAGACCATTCATACACACACATCCATAGACATATACACAAAGACACACAGACATCCGCATAGGTTCATACATAGACGCCACACACACACACACACACACACACACATACACACACATGTCGATGGCGTCATTGTGCGTTTCCGCTGGCAGAGAGAAGAGGACGAAAGACAAACCGTACGCATCATGTCGATGTCATTAGCACAGGTGGAGGCTGCTCTTGCAGAGGTAATGAAGTATGCAAAGGAGGGCGTCCACTACAACGGTGACAGCGAGTTGTCTTTGATTCAGGACAGGGTGCCAAGGTACTTCATAGTCGCTGTGGATATGAGATCCACAATCATGGCAAACGGCGAGGGCTATGTCAAAGCACGAACACTCTTGCAACGCTTCAGAGAGTCACCAAATGTACGTGTGGACAGCGATGTGGAAGATAGTGCATACAGTCTAAAAGGAGTGGTCCGGTGGATCTGCAGCGAAGGGATGTGCGAAGAAGGAGACGTGGACATGACAATGCAGCAGACAGGGGGGACATATACACCTGCAAACTTGGGCAAGTTGCTGGGCACTGTCGCACGGAATGGGGGAATGCTGGTTGATGGGTCGAAGGACGAGTTGAAGAGTGGTGCTGCAGAAATATTGGTGTTGTCCACAATGAAGGACATTACACAAACACCGCCAGAAGACTTTCAACATGTTCATGTCATTGTCGCAGATGGTGTGGAATATATTCTGCTAGATCAACTTGTGGACTTCATGAAAAAGAGTGACGACGACAGGAACGTCATCCATGAGGCGTTGCACGTAGTGACAGAGTTTGCACTGCAGGGTCAAGATCTGATAGAATTTGTGCCAGCAATAACGGAAGACAACATCATATCTGGCAAACCGTTGTGGGGGGAGTTGTTATCAGCTGCTTTGGAGCGGCTCGGTCTTGCAAGTTGCGATGTTGAGAGACGAAGAGAAAGAAAATAAGGGTGGAAGGTGATGGCCACGGAAACAAATTTAGCAATCATTCCAGACAACGGACAGACATCAGCAGCACAAGAATCAATAACCAGTATGGCAGTCGATGTGCCTCCCATGCAGACAGCAACGAGAGAGCAGCTAATGTGTCGCTATATCTTCAATGCTTTCACAATGGAGAAAGAACAGTGTGATCGTGGATTTGAAGAGGCCTATTTGGCAAGTTGTTGTGCAGAGTACACAGACAGTGCAGAAGAAGACGATGAAGAAGAGGATGATGGGGCATCATCTTCTAACGTGGAAGTGAGCGACAGCGATGTCAGCAGCGACGAGGAAGACGAGGAACATGATGTATACTATGATTTGAAGGTTGCGGGTGGACAAGTGACAAAAGGGTGGGCACATGCAATTCTGAGGTTGGCGCGTGTTTTTCCCGATCCGCACAAAGTGCTGCGTGTTGTGATGAAGGGGGCAACACCAGATGGCGCACTACAGTATGCCACAGTGACCAGCATAATGAAATCATGCAACAAGGGGAAAAAGTGGTCACGTGTTGGCAAGGGATGGTTTGTTCTCGTCAATAGAGAGGCTGTGCTAGCAACGTCACTGACATGGGGAGTCAACCTGAGTTGCCTCATACACGGCGCAATGGCGACAGCTTGGGGAGAGACATTACACCCCGGCTTATCAACAAGAGACGCAATAGTTAGTGCTCGGCCACGGCAACGACCGGAAACACACCCACACACCATGACAGACCATGTTAGACATTAGGGATGATGACAGATATGCATCCCTCAACCTGTACATCCCTCTATGTCTGCCTCAATTTCAACGACGGTCGGGTTCACTACTACGTGCCATATCAGTGTCCACCGGTGCTGTTTGTTGTCGTTTTGGCCCGCACTAGTGAACCTCCTCCTCCTCCTCCCCTCTCTCTCTCTCTCTCTCTCTCTCTCTCTCTCTCTCTCTCTCTCTATATATATATATATATATATATATATATATATATATATATATATATATATATATATATATATCTTTCTCTCTCTTTCTCATATGTCGAGTTGTAGCTATATTAGAACCTCTACATCCATCTGCGGGTTACATTTAATGTTGCCTGTTGTTTGCCTCTTCAAGAGAGAGAAAGAATTCACTACAGCGTGCAGACACAGGATTGAACAATATTTCAATCATTTGATGATTGTTACGATGTATGTCATAATTTGTTGCCTTTTGGAGTACGTGAGACACATCAGACCCCCTGTGATGACCAATGTGTGTATGTTGTGTTGTTTTTTGCATTCTCTGTAATTTCAATTCAAATGTAGTAGGTTGTTAAATGTTTTGGAAGTTTTTGCGGAGGTCGGCTGAGGTGCCGAGGTGCAATCATTTTCACGCGGACATGGAAAACATATACCACATTCACAAACGTCGTGGATGGATAGTTACGAACTTGGTCTGCCGTAAAACCGTGGTGATGAATGTTGTGTCATATATCGTGTACCATGCGTAAGTCGTTGCCTCTTCGTGCACGGCCATAGAACATGTCATGGCCTATAAATTATCATGACACAGACCATTCGTACCAAAAACGGCAATCAGTACTCCCTCTCTATCTCTTTTTCACAAAGAAGAGGATGTGAGACACTTACACAATATAACAAAATATGTTTTGCAACTTATAATTCTAACGACCTGAACCAATCTACAAAATGCTAATGAAAACACTGTCCGCACCGCTCTGTTTGTTTTTGGAATGCACTGCGTGCACAGAAAATGGACAGAGGTCCACGGGTGTGCGACTGTGGCAGGCCTTTCATGTCATTACGAACTTTGAACTCACATCGTGCGAGGGCATGCCCGGCCGTGGCGGACGAAAGAACACATGGCCAGGAGATGGGTGTGGTCGATGACGCCGGAGCATCAAGTATAGGTGTAGTGAATCTCGTGAGCGATGAGAGCGAGGACGTCGGGGCCCCCGAGAATGTAGACGGCGAGGGCGGGACATTCGAAGAGCAGCAACCGCAGCCTGTCGAATCTTTTTACAGCTCTAGCAAGCTGGCGGTACTGATTTTCTCCGCTAGGGGCAGCGTCGGTATGTCGTAGAGCAACATAGATGCTCTCTTGTCACTTTTCACAGACCCAAGATTCTGCACAAGAGACATTGCGTATCGTAATAGTCTAGCAGACGCCGCTGGATGGAAAGAGTTGGATCTACGTTGTGACGATTGGTCACGGGATGCGCACGCCATCTTGTGGCACCGCGACTGGCGAACGACATTTCTGTCGATTTTTCATATCGCATTACAGAAATGCGAGACGGTGTCTTCTCTAGAAGTGTCTCCGCCGTTAGAGCACCTCATTATATCCGGCCCACGCAGCGTGGCGCTAAGTTATCACATTCAGTCGATCATTCGAGCGGACAAAGGCGTGGACGGGAATGCGAATCCACGTTATGTTATCCCTCTTTCATTGTATTTCGACAAGACACATACAGACGGTCGTCAAAAACAGACGATGTACCCTCTGATGATGTCACTAGCCGACCACGCATCCGAAACCACACTGCTGGCCTATCTCCGCGAGACAAAGGATGAGGTCTGCACTCCACGGCATTCAGAAAGCGAAACGCCATCATTTTGCACAAGGCCCTTTCAGTGGTGTTGCAGTCTGCGAAGGAGACATCTCATGACGGAATAATGATACCGACAACGCGATTCTGGGATATAACTGTCCACCCTTTCCTCCTCAACTATATCCAGGACTACCCAGAACGATGTGCGATTGCAACTGTGAAGTTAGGTATATGTCCGACATGCACCGTGTCATAGCCGATTTCAAAGACTGCAGGAGATCACAGATGCGGGAAACACACCTCACAACAGATGTGTTCACCGTCGACGACATCGACGTTCGTCGTGCAGCAGAAGCACGAATGTTGGAGTTGAACATGCATAGACATGTTCAACAGAACGACCTTTGGGAGTTCTACAGAGGCCCCAATGGTGACGATCCTCAGCTAGACTGCCACCTGGCATTGCAACCAGACCGTATGCACACAATCGAGCACGGCATATTCCTGCACATGATTGATGCATTCAGGACCGCAGCCTTTGAGAAGTTGTCGCACTTACCGCAAACAAAGGTCCTGAAGGAACTAGATGCAAGGTTGCAAAGCGTTAGTGAGAGATGCACGCGAACATACCCCCAACTTGTGTTGCCGGTGGCCACTTGCAGCGACTTTTTTTCGAGGGAGGGACAGTTCGAGGCGAAGCAAAACCGATCTATGATGACAGTGTGCGTGTTCCTTATTTCTAATATTATACCGTGCTCGACAGGCAAGGGCATTACCGTTTGTTTTGTGAAACTGATGGAAATGTACATACGAGTGTTTCGGTCTACAACACACAGTCGTGCTTCACTCGATGAATCCAACGCTTTGATCACGGACTTCGTAACGACCATCAAAGAAAAATTGGAAAAATATCAACCATCAACATGGATACTCCCCAAGTTGCACGATCTCATGCATCTGACAACGTGTATTGAGCGATCCGGTGTCCCCGACACCTTCGGGGCAGATGTTTGGGAGCATCACCACAGGAAATTCTGCAAACAGTCATACCTGTCATCAAACAAACGAAAAACTTCAACCCAGATGGTAAACCATGTGCGTCGGTCATTGGCGTTGGATGAAGAGATCGGGATCGTGAGGAAACGGAGGAAGAGAACGGTTGAGAACCGGTCGTCCGTGACAGACTATGGCCACCGGAATGAACACCCTCGCACTACACAGCAATGCTGCAACTGCGGTGGTTCGACATCAATGACGAGTACATACGCGAGGGAGCAGGCATTGACAACCATGCGTGTAAGATACTCGAAGAGCTTCCTTGCAGACGCGATTTTCGAGTTGCGCTTACAACATACATGTGGAGAATGGTTGTCAACCTTCTTATGACGACCTGCTTATACACACACGGACACACCTGGCCATCGCTTGCGTACAGGACAGAACAAACAGGGGCACACTTGTTCAAACTGTAAGAGCGTCGCCACAGTTTCATGGGAGACCAGTGCACAGTGACGTCGCAATTAAAGCAGGCAACGAATGCACATGGTTTGCATCAGTAGCCATGTTTTTTGTCGTGGACGCACCCGCGGACAGCGGTAATATGGAACACAACTGTGGATTTGTGCAATGGTACAAGGAGGTCGACAGTGAACGGCAACACATGCCAGGTTGCAAGAAATTGAAATGGGAGAAGTTGAATGGACATCAACACAGTAGCATCGTTTCGACCGACACTATTGTAGACATAGTTCACATTGTTCCGCGCTTCTCTAAGCCACAATGGGGATCGAAGGAGCATGCAAAACAGCGTGAGGACTGTTTTTATTTGAACAAGTACATATTGTAGAGGAAACAAATGCAAACTAAGTTTTTATGTTTCCTAAGAGAGAGAGAGAGAGAGAGAGAGAGAGAGTGACAGAGAGTGTTTCTATCTGTCGTCGTCACGGGACAGTCATGTTGTTTCTTCCGAAGTATAGGGGAACAAGCGAGGACATTCATCTCTTTCTTTCCGTTATTTGTTGAGAAATATCATGTCAAATGTGGCCAAGCTTATCAAGCGGTGAAAATCACATGCGAGACGAAAGTGTCCCCAAAAGTTCGCTACTGTGTGACATTTACGTGGTCAACAGTGATAGTTGTTTCAGTTTTAGCACGCAGTACCCA